TTTAATTCAGTTCAATAAGTTCAAGTTAAATGCATGAAAAAATACATGTAAGTTAATATTCCGTTGAAGGAAGTCATGTGATGTACAGATCAGATTTTTTTTTATTTTGTTCACTGTTGATTTTAACTGGTAATGTAGAAAAAGTATACAAGTAGTCAATTTTAATTTAAAATATAGAAAGAAGGCACTTGAACTTTGCACATTAATACCATTAAGGAAAATTAACCTTTTTTACAGAAACATTAACATGATGTAACTTCTATGATGAATATTAAACAAGGAACGTAGAAATACCAACTTATGCATTGTTACACCAAGGATTAAACGAGGATACTGTATGAAGCCAGCTAAGCAGCAAACAGGTGATAAATAAATAAAAGTTTTCTCCTCTTATTTTCTTTTGTGTTGCCTTTACCTGGGAAATTTTTGGCATATATGTGTCGTTTCAATTACGTTTATGGCTATCTAGTGCTTTTACCAATTTGTGCAGGAATGAAGTAAATGCTGCCATTCAAAAATTTCGAAACGTTTTCACTGTAACCGTAACCATGAGAGCTCTATTCCTTTAAATCATCACAATCTCGAGGCATACTTTCAAATAGCAATATCTGAAATTTCATTCCGATTTATTAAGATAGACCTCTAGGGGTTCATATATCGGAGAAGACTTTTATAACCACCCTGTATATTAGGTCGAAAACGTTTGGATGCTAACTATTTGAAATAGTGGTTTGTTCATTCACAGCCATCTACATCTGGTGTGTGATCTCTCGTGTGCTTAGGAGTCAACGTTGTTGAAATCTAATATGTCACTGATCTCGGCTCTCAATTCTGAACACCGATGACAGGTTAAGAAAATCAGCCAGTAATCTTACTTCTGTAAATCTTCCTCCAATCAAAATCTGATACTTGATCTATCGTTGTCCTGTCTTTGCTGCAGAGCGTATTAGAACTTCCCTCAAGCTAAAGCCATGACTGAATATTATTCCACTGCTTTCAGACAACTCTGCGTTAAGCCTTTTTACAACACTCGTGGATGACGCCTTACCATCGCTAATCTTGTATTAATTAACCATACTGACATTTGTGACAAATATATATTTAGGTATATTTCTTTCAAATATTTTCTCTTGCAAATAATTTGATGTCTTGAGCACTCATTTGTTGATTTACTGTTCTTCTCAATAACGCTCAAGAAAATTCTTTCAATTTGATTCAAAAAGCAATCAACTGTAAGTTTTCACTGTTGTTCGCTTTTTTGAATGCATGAACTTTAACTCAGTATAAGAATGATTAACGCTTTAATTATCACCTTTATTCAATTCTTTTATTACTTTTTATCTTATGATATCTTTATTACATTTATCTTATTCTTTTATTACTCTTTATCTTATGTTGGCTTATTCTTATTACATTTACTTATTGTTTATCTTATTCTTTTATTACTTTTATCTTGCGTTACATTATCTTTATTATATTTATCTTATTGTTTATCTTGTACTTTTATTACTTTTTAACTTAGTTAAAATAAAAAGTGATGGCAAGTGGGAAGCACTATCCTGCGTTTCTGATAGACAAATTCAAGTGGCTTTGAGATATGATTGACTTCGAGCAATCCAGTTGACTTTGAGACATTTGGTAAAGATATACAAAATTAAATTAGATTCACAAAACTTCAAAGGTTTATATGCATGCTGTTAATCTATGAAATACGTTAAGATTTTAATTAAATAGCTTTACTAGATTTCAGTTGCTGAATCAGATTAAAGTCTAGTTTTTCGAATGCACGGAATATTTTAGCATTCAATTTTGAAAATTATTGCTGGTTATAAATTTTAAAGGTATGACTATATTAACTAATAACTGAATTCATTCAAATGTATTTTGTATTTCGTATCCAAACTGCACTAAACTAATGTTGCTTTTATTTCATTCTTATCAAAGAATTCTTCTTACTTTTTTGGTTAAAATGTGTATACAAAGTTTTTATCTACAAAATATATAAACTGTTATTACAGCCAGGTCTAATGTTAACAATACCTCGCTTTTAATAACAAATTTTAAAATGAATTTATTTGCCCTGAACCATGAAAGACGTTGCTCAGTTGTAAATTATAGACTCAGGAAATTATAACGACAAATAAAAGAAGTTATTTTATTCAAATTATATTACAAAAGATAAAATATTCATAAGTAACGTTTGTTTCAAATTTAAGACATTTTTAAGACATATTTGTAACACGTGTCTCTAATATGCCTGAGATTCATTTACAAAATGATAGCTATAGACAAGAAATGAAAAAATGTTGCTTATGTTAATAAGAAGAAAATGAATACACTTTTCTTGTAAGAAACATAAAATATAAGATTGTTTTCAGAACAGAAAATGAACAAATATTCTGAAACGCAAGAAATAAAAGAACTAACATTACTATAGTTATTAAAAGAAGAACAAGTTTTGTTGGCAACAAATAAAAGACTGATCGAAAGATGTGCAGGACTTGGTACGTACTTCTTAATAATATAATTTAACATAGCACTACTAGTTAGTGATACACTACTAACCAAAATATCTTAACTATTTGAGCTCAGATTTAATTGAAAGGTGCTTGCAGAAAGTAAACATTAAATTTTTGTTCATGATCAATGTAAGTGCTTTACAAAACGTCCTGTAACTATTTACATTTCCTGTAAAAAGAACAAAGCAATCAAATTGGGAAATAAATACTTAGTAACTAAAGAGCGGTTGAATATGTACATAAAAATGTCAACTACGCTACAAAAATATGACGCTTAACAAGATGAACAAACAAGCAACAAATACAGTAACTATATACATATTACAAGTAATCCCAAAGTATTGGAAGATATTTACATTATAAAACTTATTTAACAACTGAAAAATCGAGCTTCTCCATTTGTATGTGAGAAAAAGATGGCGAAATTAATTAATAAAATCTCGTCTCATATTTGCTGGATTTAAATTCAATCGTTAAAAATTACGAAATATTAATAGACTAGAACTGAAAGAGTAATTTAAAAAGTCCTGAAGGAAGATAGTTAAAAATGGAAATTTAAAAAAATAATTATAATAAAAAATAGCTAATTTAGCAGTTATCGATTTCTTATTAAAACATTCACTTGATTTTCAAGTGAAGATACTTAAAAAATAATGTGAATTAACGCCCGCATGCATAACGCCGTTCTTCTTCTTCGCAAAAGCACTGTCCCCCTAGAATTAGGTACTCGAGAAATGTGAGATAGACAGAAACCATGCTTTCCCTGCATTAATGAGAAGTAATTCCTTCGCCCTATCTTTCTCACGACACCTTTTCCTCGATTTCTCTTGATGGCTTGTCTCCTTTTAGCCCAGGGGACCTTCGCTCAGAAGGGCGATTAACTTCGTTTTGGCGTTACGTGGTTCACTGCGATTCAATTTCGCTTGATTTTCCGTGCCGATCCTCACCCATAATGTGAAATTCCAATGCTGCAATAAGTTTTTCAGCCATGCTGTCAAGTGACTTAGTACACGGCCCTTCAGCTCAGAATACCTGCTACCTGTCTGATAAGAGAAGTAATTTCATTTCTGCTCTTTAGTCGCACGTCCTTACAGATGCCTCGCATAAAATTCTCTTTCCGATTGAATATTTGTCTCATACATAACTAAGCCCAAAAGGAAATTTGCTCAGAGGGCTATTAACTTTCGTTTTGGGGCGTTTTACGTTGGTTCACGATAGGTTGCGTTGGTGGTCACTTTTCAATTGTTCTAGCCCCACAAATGTTAGAGTTCTTCTTCATTAATTTAAAAATAATGAAGAATTTCATAAATGACGCATGTTTCTCCCAACTATGGCCGGCACGCTCCCCATCCCCCCTCGCCGTCCTACTCGCTGTCGTGGAATATGGCATCTGGCCCTTGAGAATTTGCTAAATTTGCATTATTAGCTCTTTCATATTTTGTGACCCTCTTTTTTTTTTTTTTTTTTTTTTTTTGTGTGTTAAGGACGACTTTTGGTTTTCAGACGAATTTTTGGTTCGAAACCCGCAAGATTCAAGCGAGCTTGGCACCCCGTACAGCACCCCCACACTTTTCTTCCAGTGGCACGAGTATCGGACTTCCCCTGTATGCTATTGTCACTTTTTCTGATCTTGCTGTGAATTGAGTTTATGATTAAGGCGAAGCCCCTGATTTATAATCACAGTCCCCAAAAACCGTTAAAAACAAAACAAAATCTGCCCGTTTCAGCTTTTAATTCCGTCCAAGGGGGTCTGTAACTTTTTGTGGGTTACCTTGCTGTATTCATATAATGTTCCTTGCATTAAATCCATATGATTCGTCACCAACAGCAATATCGCACAATCGTTTTTATAGCGACTCTTAGAATTTCCGTACAGAGACCCGCGCTGGAGTCTAAATGTTTTTCTGACAACGGGCCCTTGCTCGCTATGACACCTGGCTATGTTTAAAAAATTTGTCCTCAAAGTTTAAAAATAGGCCTCGATCAATAAACACCATTCAAATTTCAATTTGGTTTTCCCCATGCTCATTCGTTGGCGGATTACGGTAGTAAAATTCGATACTCTAGTACGTTGGTTACACAATACGAGAAAGTACAACATTTATGCAGATTTTTTTATAAGTCCAATGTAATGGCAGGACGCTGCAATTTGTGGCAACAGGTGGAAGGGAAACGAACATTGTGGAGGTCGACGCAAAATGCCAACGAATCTATTTAGTCCTTCGGGATACAAATCCCGGGACTAAAAACCCTTTCGGCGATTACCAAAAGCTGAAAGCTTCCGATTTGTTTTTTAGGCTATTAAGGAAAATAAATATTGTTTCAATGGGTACCTTTTCCCCTTTTTAAAAATTAACTTACTTCTTTACTTTTCTAAATGGTGGTATATTTGATTAAGTTAGATTTATAATTTAGTAAGCAAAGGTTTTAAACTTTTTGAAATATTTATGACTATATTATTTAAAAAATATATTATTTCATAAGCTAATCGATATTAAAGTTAAGAATTGTGTGAATGGAAATTTCAATAAGTTTATCTAAATTGAAAAAAAAATGTATTTTTGTCTTATAACATTATAAGAAAAATTAAATTTACTCAGTTTTTGAAGAAAACTTCAAAAGTTGAAATATTCACAAATTTCAAATCGTGTTTTTGGCTGTTTGTATACTTTTAAAAGATTTTTTTTAACTTTCTTAATTAACCTATAAAACGCATTGTAAATCATTAGAAATATTTATAAATTGAATCTTTTCTGAAGTGAGTGGAAACGATGAAAATTTTTACTTGATTTATATATTTTATTCTAAAGATTTACTTGTTTGAATTCGTAATGCCAAAGATATAAATGCTGAACAGCGTAACAATACTTAATAAAAACTTAATGCAGAATTATTAATTTCTAACGTATTTTAAATTTTCTAAGAATGGTTACGTAAGAATCTTACTTAAGTACTTTTCTAAGAATGCTGTACTATTTTAATAGCTTGAAGATCTCCAGTATTTGGAAATGAATTTCTTTGCTTCATTTCTGAATTCTCATATATAATCACTTCAAACAGAAACAAAATTTTAAGTAAATTTAGAATTAGAATAATTCGTTAAATTGTGTTGGTATCACAGACATTAATTACTTAATTACTAATTACTAATTAAGTTTCGTCAGGTCTCACTTATAAATAATAAACATTATTTTTTTAAGATTTAATAAGTGAATGCAATGTAAATCGTTGCATACAGATAGAGTTAATTAAGATTATAATTAGATTAATTCTTTGCTACATTTTGTTTGCTTCAGATACAAAATTTTAAAATATTTTTGAAATGACGTTACAGAATTAAATCAATCTATAAGCATTTAAGAGGCCCGGTGGCGCAGTGGCTAGCGCATCGCGCAGCAGCACCCCAAGTCCGGGGTTCGATTCCCGGGCTGGGCAAGGTCGACTCAGCCTTCATTCCTTGATTTCTATCACTTGGGACGATAAAATGAGTACCAAGTTCGCTTGGGGACTAAACACTGGTGGTCCTGCGACCCAAGCTGACCACTTGCTCAGGGCATATGCTTACGCACCCCGGGGGCCACGGTCAAGAAAGCAGATTTCGGGCACTGCAGGCCTTCGCCCATTAGGGCTGTTACGCCACTGAGTTTAGTTTTTATAAGTATTTAAACACCTTAAAAGATACAAATCAGTACTTAAGTTTTAAAAAGTAGTAATAGAAGCAAAACCAAAATTATTTCTGAACATTAGTGAACTTTAATACTAATATCGGGTTTTAACGAAAGTTTCCCACCACCGCCAAATATCGTCTGCGCAAGAAGAAAGAGACTTGCTGTAGAACACTGTATTGTGATACTTATAAAAGCATGTCGTTATCATTAAGGTGCCTGAAATGGAACCATTACGTTACCAAATTAGGACCCTCATTTTACTTCTAGATCTGCTGCAAAAAGTCAGCTACAGAATGTCCCCAAATCATGCTTACGGGTTAAGGTACGAATGTTGTATCACATGACCTTGTGAATGTTTGGTAGCGAAAGTTCAAAAACCAGAACTTATTCAGTAAGCATAGCGCTCAGGCCGGCCTATTGATGTTGATGAGGCCCGCCTGCGAGAACTTGTAAGAGAAGGTCAGTACGCAACCACTCAAGAGCTTGCTAAGGAGTCCATGGCCATTAATCGTGCTATGCATCGCATAAAACTTGAAGTACAAGTTCAATCGCTGGGTGCCGCATGAGCTGAGTCCAGCAGATAAGGACAAAAGTGTTCGTGCCTGCACTAATCTGCTGGAAAGCAACGCAAGGAAAAATTTCTGAACCGGATCGTCACGTGTGATGAAACGTGAATTTTCTTTCACAACACCGGCCGAAATAAGGGTTGGTCAGCCCCCGGTGAGCCCGTCGGTAGCGTCGTAAAGCGCAAGTTCACTAACAAAGAAACATGCTTTTTATCTGGTGAGATAGCCGTGGTGTTATCCACAAAGCGAAGCTAGAAAAAGGTAAAAACCATCGGCAGTAAGAGACGTTGCTATCAAGGAAAAGCGTCGAACTGAGTTCCGTCTCAAAAAGGTTATGTTCCATCAGGATAATGCAAGACTAAATGGATCTGCACTCACCGGCTGAGTTCTGTACGGAATCGAATGGGATCTTTTGCCACACCCACCATACAATCGCGACATCGCTCCTTCGGACTTCTATCTTTCTTTCACACCTGCAGCTACGTCTTGCTGGTGCTATCTTCCATTCTGCGCAGGCCACCCGAAATGAGGTTGATCTGTTTCGGGACTCGCGGCCCGAAACATATCCGCACTAAAGGTACTTCTTTCACATTTTTTTTTCTAACTTTAAAAACATTTTTTGGCGGATAACTTTCGTTGCAACCAGATATTTATATGTATACTCAAAAAAGAATAGTTTGAAGTATTTTATATAACTAAATAAAAACTGAGATAAATTGCACATAAAAGCATTTTAAAATACAATATTCCTAAATTTTGGATTAAACATTATTCTTAATCCTCTTTCTTTTTCCTAAACATATGAAAGTAATAATCAGATATTCTTCAGTATATTGTTGCAGTTTATAAATACGTAAGTGTTTATAAACTATAAACTTCATAAGTGTTTTGAATGCTTCATCGATGTTTACAAAATTCTTTGTTTGCAATATACAGCTTTTGTTCAGCAGATTTTAAACTCAGAGTTTAAGGAACACGCAATCCGTTTCGGAAGACAGGGAAAACACTTCTCGCTTCTCAGCCAGTTTTATTTAAAATTCACCAGTTTTCTTTACTCATATACCTTCCATGCAATAGTCAGCTGCAGCATGCTGCAATAATTTTTATCATTTGATTCAAAAGTGTTTTTGATAAACACAATCTTTCCTTTCAACTTTTTAACACACTACAGTAAAAGCTGGCATTGACTGGCGAGAATGGTATGAAAGTCCAGTAAGATATGACTTAGGAATCGGCAGTAGCAAAATGACGTAGAATTGAAACCGGTGGGAATGCAATTGTTGACTAAATATCAGAAATTATAATCGACCTCAAAGTCATCCAGCCAAATTAACCACGTAACTGGTTGGGATGAAAGGCGGAAGGGGTCCGACGAAAGGTGTTCTAACTTTCATTGCAGCTTTTGGCTTCATATCCGGCACCATAGTCCGTGTCTTGATTATGTGAAATCCTGAAGAATCTGCCATGTATTCAACAACGCGCAAGGCTCCAGAAGGTTCAACGTAACCGTACCTGCCCTTCACTTTACCATCCGGACCTCGCTCCTCCTGCCGGAAAGACTGATTAGGGCCTGATCCGGTGTCATAACCGAATTTGTATGTCCCAGGTCCGGCAAAGTTCTGGATATTGTAATGGGCTTTTGTACCAGCTGGTATTGGTACAACCCGGCCATATACACCGGCGGTTGCGCTTCGTCTGGTGACAGGAGAACAGCTGGCGGACAACACAACGCACAGTACACACAACAGGAAAAAACCCTGTAAAAGAAAACAAAATAAAGTTAATAATGTCAAAAAATGTAATATAATATACATGTAACATGTGTAAATGTCTGCAGTGATATGCATGGGAATCATACACATTAAGACCCTTAAGATCTTCGAATATGTGACTTTTGCAAGAATTGGGATATTTTATTTGTTTTAAAAGCAATTACTTCCAACTTCTTACAGATGACTACATAATATAGCTGCTTTGGGAACTAATAACCAGAAAATTTGTGTTGCTATAAATATTTTTACAATTTAATCTGGTTTGTGACAAAATATTTTATGCGTTTACGTCACGTTTTCACCTTGCGCAGTCAGTTAAAAACATTCTGTTGTATAATTTAATTCCATATTTAATATATAGCTTTTATAACATTTCTAAACTACTGTGAACTAAAAATCCTAAGAATTGCATGTTAAATTTTTTATTTATTAGGTTGAGTTTATAAAATGAATTTATACTAAAAAAATCTGTAATGTTTTCGTGCCTAACATTTTTTAATATTAAAATATTCATTAGATTTTAATTCAGTTAGCAGATAATGCCCATATAAAGAATTCCATCAAATTACAAGTATGTGTCATTAGCCATTTTTAAAATATCATGCGCGCAATGTGGAAACAAGCCGTGAACGCATCAAAATTTTGTCACAAAGCAGATTAAATTATAAAAATATTTGTGGCAACACAAAATTTCTGGTTACTAGTACCCAAAGCAGCAATAGTATGTAGTCAGCTGTGAAAAGTTGGAAGTAATTGCTTTTAAAATAAATAAAATATCCCAATTCTTGCAATAGCCACATATTCGAAGATCTTAGTGATCTTAGTGTGATCTTAGTAGTAGTGATTCGAAGATCTTAGTAGAGTCCGCTTAAGCTTCATATGAAAACAGTAATAGTTATAAAATCCTCCAAAACTGTACAAAATTATACTGGAATTTCTGTTTTCTTGAGAATGTCATCGAATATATGGAAAGCAATGTATACCAGGAGAGGTCTGGAAAATGAAACTGAAAGAAAATGTAATATTTTTTAACAAGGCTTAGGTCTTTTTTGGAGTTCAGAGATAAAGTGATTCTTCTTGGAAATGACAGTTACAAGCTTTGTTCACTCATTAAATGCACTTCTACACATTTGTTTTTCTTTAAAAAATGGTCATGTCACTTCATTATGACAGAGGAAGAAATCATTTTTCGACACTGTTTTCAAACATACTCCAGGTGGACTTAAGCATTTTGAGATCAGGGCACTGAACATTTACCATATAACTGGTTGGGATGACTGGTCCTAGAAAATAAAAGGTGTTCTAATTTTTATAAAGTAAGTGAAAAGTGATAATAATTTTATCTTAATGCTGCCTCAGTGTCTTACTTTATTTCAAGGGATTGTTTTCAAATATACTCCAGGTGAACTTAAGTATTTTGAGATCAGGGCACTGAACATTTACCATATAACTGGTTGGGATGACTGGTCCTAGAAAATAAAAGGTGTTCTAATTTTTACAAAGTAAGTGAAAAGCGATAATAACTTAATCTTAATGCTGCCTATCAGTGTCTTACTTTATTTCAAGGGATGGTTTTCAAATATACTCCAGGTGAACTTAAGCATTTTGAGATCAGGGCACTGAACATTTATCACATAATTGGTTGGGATGAATGGTCCTCTAAAATAAAAAGTGTCCTAACTTTCACAAAGTAAGTGAAAAGCGATAATAACTTTATCTTAATGCTGCCTATCAGTGTCTTACTTTATTTCAAGGGATTGTTTTCAAATATACTCCAGGTGAACTTAAGCATTTTGAGATCAGGGCACTGAACATTTATCACATAATTGGTTGGGATGAATGGTCCTCTAAAATAAAAAGTGTCCTAACTTTCACAAAGTAAGTGAAAAGTGATAATAACTTTATCTTAATGCTGCCTCAGTGTCTTACTTTATTTCAAGGGATTGTTTTCAAATATACTCCAGGTGAACTTAAGCATTTTGAGATCAGGGCACTGAACATTTCTCACATAATTGGTTGGGATGAATGGTCCTCTAAATTAAAAGGTGTCCTAACTTTCACAAAGTAAGTGAAAAGTGATAATAATTTATCTTAATGCTGCCTCAGTGTCTTACTTTATTTGAAGGGATTTTACTTAGAGTATGGTGTAAAGTACTCGAGGGCTTGCTGCTTAAGGCAAATATGCTTTTGTGGAAGACCTTTTAATTGTAAATGGCTCATACTCACATTACACATGTGGAAAATTTTGAAATCTCCTATACAGCCAACCCGTTTGCCAGGAATTCAGGCTAGGTCGAACTACCATTGCTCGATATTTTTAACGCTCGGCCACTGGTAGGCCTGTGGAAAGGGACATTTTTAAAAGGAGATAAATTAACATTAATTGGGGTATGGTAATGGCAGTGCTGAATGAGACTGAGTAAGTTTTAAAGTAACAGAATTTGATTCACTCTGAAAAATGGCCTTAAGAGACTTGCAAAAGAAAGCTTAAGCCCTCTGACCAGCAAGGCCGTATATATATACGGCCTAGAATATTTTTTGTGATGTCTGCAAGAACGTACATATACGTGCATCTTAAAATATATCCAAGAAATTACGTCAGTGTAGTATTAAAAGTGTATAAATCCACGTATAAAGTATCAGAGACATTTTGAAGTTAAAATTAAGAAAACAATTCTTTCTCGTGTTAGTTTTGTGTGTTTTCTTAACGTGTTAGTTTGTGTGTGTGTTTTCTGGATGTTTGTGTTTTTTTAACGAAAACACGCGACAGTCAGAGGGTTAAGATGTATCTGATGCTGTGCGTAAACGACTCTATGAGTAGACAGCTCTACATTAGTTTCTAGCGTAAAGATCCAACATCAAAACGAAATGCTTAAGCGATGCAATGATGCAAGTTTACTTACACGTAAGGGAAAACATTACTAGATCCAGAGTTCTTAATTTAACTATATTCATATGAGTGAATCCTGGGAACGGACAGAAACGGAATTGCAGACGGCCCGATTACAGGTTTCCGTACTTAAGAACTATTAAGTACGGAATCCTATAATCGGGTCGTCTGCTATTCGTGGTCTTTTTGTATGTAAAAATGTCTGCCAAAATTTTTTAAGAATAGGAAATTTAATTCCTTTCTCTTCAATGCGTTTATGATAGGCAGTATTATCAGGAATTGAAATTATTTATTTTTATGAAAGGAAAGCAGACTATCTGTTAAAAATTCTGCAAAAGATTAATTTTGAAAAGAATGTTATAAAATTACTTTAAAAGTATGGCAACGAAAATCATATGCGTATTTTGAAAAGTATTGGAACTTTACTCATAATGTTGAGCTAGAAACTCAAAAGATTTTCTGACATTATTGAAAAAATACGAAAAACTATCTTAAAAAATTTGTCTTCGTTGCAAAATATTTTAATATGCATTCCAAAGACTTACTGAATTTTGTTTTTGTTATTTTATTATGAGATATAATTATAAATTTACCATTAATGCCTTGTTTCGAAAAATGTAAGGATATTAATTGTATTAAAAATAGATAAGTATGTGTTGTACTTCACTTTAAAACACATTCCTTCACAGCAGTGAAATATTTACTATTCCCTCAAGTTATAATTTTAATTTCATACAAACATTCATATATTTGATGAAAGCTATTTAAAATTTGAGAAATACAAATACGATATTAATTTCAAATCAAATGTCTTAGTGCATTTAGAGAGATGATATATATACAGCAGTTTTACATCTTCAAAAACTAATTTCATCATTAGCTGCAAATCTCTTTCTACTGCCTTAGTCAGAGCGTTGGGACAGCTTTGTTCTATAGATTTTAAATTAAGAAAAGCTAAAATCCACTACATTACTGTGATGCGAAAGCTCACTTGCAGTTATATCTTGTGGCAGATATTTTGATCGAGTTCGCAGAGCTGAGAAATACAGTGTTGTTGGTTAAAAAATTTTAATGCGAATACATTTCAATTTTCGTTATTTTTTTACGCCTCTATACATGATCTAAAACAGTGCTATAAATTAAAAACACTGAGATGATCACATATAGTTATATTTTTAAAAAACTAAACTAACTTTCAACAAACTAACTTTTATATGGTTTATATTTTTCTATATTTTTCTTCTTTTTATATGGTTTACAAACCATATAAAGCTTCGTGGTTTTAGTTACAGTTTCTGAAACTCAAGCACTCGTTGTGCATAGAATTTTAACCTTACTTATAGGGTAGTGATTTTGGAACTGCACTCCATGAAACCTAAGAGTTCCATGGAATTTCTATAGAAGTTCCGATTTGCTAATCGGAACGAATTCGAGGGCCAAAAAATTAATCATTCAAAATAATTAAATGAAAAAAATAATTTAAAAAAAAATCCGAAAGTTTTCAGATTTTATATTACGCCCAAAGGTTCATTTTTTTAAAACTTTTTGTGTGTTAACTTTGTTCAGTAAATATCGTATTCTTCACACTTAAACCACAAAATTCAACAGCAATATCACAAAATATTTAAAAGAGCATATCTTTTGAATTTCCTATCACAGTCTCGCGCGCTGGAGATAAAAACGTTTTTTTATTTTCCGTAAAAAGTTTGTTAATCAATAATTCATTAAAGTTTTACAAAATATGAAATCGATAATAAAACAAATTCCAAATTTCAAATTTGGGCTTTCAGACGCCCATATTCGCAGTAGGATTACCTCATTCAAAATGTGATGGCTCTATGTACCGTTGTTTTATCACAATGCGAGAAACATACATACATTTATGCAGATTCGCAGATTCTTCATTATTTAATTTCTTTAAATATAATACAGGACTCTAAAATTTGGTGGCAACAATTTAAAAAGTGATTCGCCGTTTATAATGAATCGAAGCAAAATGCCAAAACGAAATTAATAGCCCTTCTGGAAAAATTGCCCCTTTGAACTAAAAATTCTTTAAACATAGCAATCAAATTATTTTTGATGCAGAAATTAT